AGTTGAATGCTATCATGGACGACGAAACATATGTGAAGGCCGACTTCAAACAGATCCCCGGCAACCTGTTTTTCACGGCCAAGGATAAGTTCAGCGTTCCGGAGCATGTCCGCACTCAGAAGATGTCCAAATTTGCGAAGAAATTCCTGGTTTGGCAAGCCATCTGCACGTGCGGGAAGCGGAGTGCACCTTTCGTGACCCAGGACACGATGAACGAACAGGTGTACATAAAAGAGTGCCTCCAGAAGCGACTGCTTCCTCTCCTGAAGGCCCACAACGTCCCAACAATCTTCTGGCCGGATTTGGCCTCATGCCACTCCAAGGACGTACTGAAGTGGTATGCGGACAATAAGGTCAATTTCGTGCCGAAAATGTTCAACCCTCCCAACACTCCGGAGCTCCGCCCCATCGAGAAGTACTGGGCGATTATGAAGCAGCACCTTCTTAAACGACCTAAGGTAGTGAAGACAGTCGAGGAACTGAAGAAAGTATGGGTTTACATGCAAAAAACGGTTGATTCACAGGTTGTGCAGAATCTTATGGCCGGGGTTAAGGCCAAGGTGCGGGCATTTGCGTATGGACTGTAAATAAAATACGAGTAAAATCTAGAGTAAAATGGTAAAATGAAGTTTAATAGTTATTTCTCAATCCCTGAAAACTTGATGGCAATCGGATGAAAACTCGAATTTTGCGAATCAATTTTGTGTGTGGCAATTTCATCGTGGACACCCTTTAGGGTGAATCTAAAATTGTATGGAGCACAAAGAAATCAATATGTGTTGAATAAAGACAAAAGTTTGATTTTCGTTAAATCTACATGGAAAGGTCAAAAGCTGCTGAAATAGGATTACACCGATTTCAGGAGCTTGACCTTTACATTTTGTTTTAACGAAAGTCAAACTATTGTCTTTATTCGACGCACATTAATATTTTTTATTGCGGTATTGTTCGATACAAGTAGTTAACCAGCGAAGATGCGCAGATTCGGGGAAATGGTACATTCGGGGAAATTATTTTCTGGGAACTGTGCCATTCGGGGAATTGTATTTCCGGGAAAAGTTACATTCGGGGCAATAACTTTCGGGGAAAGTGTTTTCGGGGGACTGGTTTTCGGGGAAAAGTCGTACAATCATCGTAGCTAAGAGTGTACGACATGCACACAAGTAAATGAAAACTACTTTGACCCGCTTTACCTACTTTTGGGTTCCTGCACTATAGTGGCGAGATGTGTGAAAAGAACTTACTTTTGGGTACTTTTTTCCTACCGTGCACGCTATTTCAGAACTACCCAAATTTGGGTAGAATCCACCCAGATCTGTCAAAACTGAACCTACCCAAAAATGGGTAAACTATGTTGGGAGTGACAAGTTGACAAATTAACAACGTCGATCGGATTCATGTCGATGTTGTTCATTTGTCAACTTGTAACTGCCAACACAGTTTACCCATTTTTGGGTAGGTTCAGTTTTGACAAATTTGGGTGGATTCTACCCAAATTTGGGTAGTTTTGAAATAGCGTGTGTGTTTTACTGTGATGAGTGGAATCCTCGGTGAAATCTATACCCAGATTCTAAATGGTTCTGATACCAATATTTCCTAAGTTAAAAATGGCGTCAACGTCCATAGTTCGGTTCCAGTCTGCTCCGTTTGACTATTTTTTGTTGACAATATTTTTCAAAAGGCTACCCGCATAAATTCGAATCATTACTTGACCTTACCAAAAATGATTAAACATAGTTTATAATCCCTGCTAAACATTAACTGAAATGATTATGGAACTTTACATGAACGTTTGTGTGATAAAGTTTTAACCTTATGTATTATGGTTTTTTGGAAGTGAACCTTACAAATAATGGGTGGTTAAGAACCATTACCATTCAAAATTCTTGTTTCCTCCATACATTTTTGGGAAAGGAATTATATTGGGACCATTTTATTTATGATTTGAGAACTTTAAATGTAATGGTTATGGTAGTCGATAAGGTTCATATATGGTTTTGTAACATCAATCAACTTTATGTGGAATCGGTTGCCTGTAAATTACTGATTACCAATCCGCGATTTATTCCACGTAAAGTTGACCGATAATACAAAATCATTAATGGACCTTACTGACTACCATAACCATTACCATTAAAGTTCTCTAACCATAAGTAAAAAGGTTCTAAGGTCCTCTCTCCGAAAATGTATGGAGAAAACAAGAATTTGGAATGGTAATAGGCGTTGACGGCACCGTCGAAAAATTTGCTCTTCCAGCAAATTTAGACTGTTTCTTATGGGAATTTTCGGTGGAGTGAAAGGATAGTACAAATCCGCCATGTTTCACGCACAGAATTTTCTCATAGGAGTAAAGAGCTACAGAGTCGCCGTCAACGCCAATGGTCCTTAACAACCCATTATTTGTAAGGTTCATTTCCGAAGAACTATAACCCAACCGGAATACAGTTCGTTTATGGTATTTCTTTATAAGGGGAGTAGCCTCAAAATAGCGTGAAGAGCAAAATTAAGAGTGAACCTTTAGTTACCATTGGTAGTCATTGGCCGATAATTTACAAATTTCCATAGGGAGTGGTCTTATTTTTCGATTATCTACAGATCTAAACTGATTTACAGCTGAAATAACCACACATTAAAAATTCGGAAGATCATAACCGCTGAGACAATTTCATAAATCTTAATTTTTCTCATCAACAATATACGGAAGCACCCGATACAGAAAACAAAATATTCTACGTGGATGATGATTTCAAGCACCTGCGGTGGATAAATTAATCAGAAAAGGTGAACATATTTTCCTCTTCTTAAAGGCCGGCGCACAATGCATACGTTTTCGGGTTTTTGACAGATAATGCATGGGCTAAATGTCAAAAAACCTGAAAACGTATCCATTGTGCGCCGGCCTTAGGCTTCACGGTGAAATTTTCCACCCTCATCACTCTTTTGTTGGTTCTCCTATTGACCGCCAGAAGCTGAAACAATCGCTTAGTTTCTATTGGCGATCTAACGATAGCGCTTGTGGCGAATAGGAGAAATAGAAAAATGATGATGGTCTTAACATTTGGCACGTTGAGAGGAAAGAAATCTTGAAAAGCATTTATTATCCGAAAAAAAAAATATTTGTCATTTTTTTTAAAGCTGCTACGGAAGAAACCTCAAAAGGTATCCGATAGACGTATAATTTTAAAATTTTATGTTTTTGCTTAGTTTTCGTTTAGATCTTTAGATCTGAGCTTTTCTAACCTTGTATGTACAACCAAATTTATGGAAAATACTTTATTCGTTAAATAAAAGCGTTTTAAAAATATTCTCCCATATATGGGTATACCTCGCCGTGCAAAATTATGATACCATCACAGACAATACCATGTGACTATTGGCAAATCAAAGTTGGCACTTGTGGAGAATAGAAGAACTATGAAAGTGATGATGGTTTCAAAATTTTACACGGTGAGGTATACGAGTACAATCTTAAAATAATTCTATTTTGCAAATGGAGCATTTTATTTAAATCTGGTTAATGCTACGTTAGTAGAAAACTTAAGGACTACTCAATAGACATATAATATAGAGAAAAAAAAAAATTCTTTTCAGATTTTTAAGTGTATACATAGATTTCAGCTTTTCTACCACTATAGCAGATAAGAGATGAACTAGCCCCAGGCTAAAAATCTCTATAATAAAGACTAAAAAAAAAAAAAAACACTATAGCAGAGACCAGATTTAAATAAAATGCTCCATTTAAAAAATAAAAGCATTTTAAGATTGCATTCGAATACCTTCACGTGGAAAATTTTGAAACCATCATCACTTTCATAGTTCTTCTATTCTCCACGAGTGCCAACTTTGATTTGCCAATAGACAGACATCAGACAGACAGACAATACCAATACCAGTGATACCATCATCAGTTTTCTAATTCTCCTATTTGCCACAAGTGGCGCTTTATGCTATCGTTAGATTGCCAATTGGATTAGCCTATACGCCTTTTTAATGCACCACCAACGTAGAATGCGCCACGCGAGTTCGAGAAGAAACGTCAACCAAACCGTTTGTTTACATCAGAATAAGTATTTTCCCCAACGCAAATAACAGCATTTCAGTGTCAACATTTCAAAGGGGCGTAATTGCTTTTGTAAACAATGACTTTAGCCGTCAATTTCTCGCGTATGATATCTTACCTCTCCAATATTACAATGCTAGCTGATAGAGGAAACATTCCTCTACCTGGTGGTGTCATTATTTTTCATGAGTGAGTTTTTATTTGCGAGAAATCGATGGCTAAAGCCATTGTTTACAAATGCAATTACGCCCCTTTGAAATGTTGGCACTGATTTCTTAAATATCTTGCAAATTTCCATCGGTAATTCAGTGCCAACATTTCAAAGGGGCGTAATTGCATTTGTAAACAATGGCTTTAGCCATCGATTTCTCGCGAATAAAAGCTCACTCATGAAAAATAATGACACCAGTAGGTAGAGGAATGTTTCCTCTACCAGCTAGCATTGTTATTTTGAAGCGGTAAGATTTCATTCGCGAGAAATTGATGGCTAAAGTCATTGTTTACAAAAGCAATTACGCCCCTTTGAATTGTTGGCACTGAATTGTCTTATTGTACGATTTTCCACAAATCTGAACTGATTTGCACCTTCACTATTGGCAAATCAAAGTTGGCACGCGTGGAGAATAGAAGAACTATAAAAGTGATGATGGTTTCAAAATTTTCCACGGGGAAGTATACGAGTGCAATCTTAAAATGCTTTTATTTTGTGAATGGAGCATTTTATTTAAATCTGGTTAGTGTCATGGAACCAAATTAGGCATGTGGGGGTATAAGGAGATAATCATAGGGGGTAGCCCCTTAGATAATAGGGGGGGGGGGGGGGGGTAACGTACAATATAGCATGCTAATTTTAAAATCGGCGCATAAACTCAAGCTAATATTGAATCCCGAGCAAGACCGGGCACACTCAGCTAGTTATTTATATTATATGTTGTTATTAAAATAAAAAAAAGATATGTTGTCAAAAATAGATTTTATTGCATTATTATTGCATGCAGCCTGTAATAATAAATATACAATATAGGGCAACTTAAGTACGGTTTGCATATTTACAAAAAAAAAAGTATTTCCATAAAAAAGAAAATATTTCTGGGTCTTATGAACATTTTAAAATACTGATTCAGCTTCACTGGACGGAATAATTCCACATTCAACACTCCTTCGTCGTTCGTTGCTTTACACAACACCAAAATGTACCACCTTGATGTTGGGAATCTTTTTATTGTCCTCGTTGTTTTCCTGCTGCTCATTGCTGTTGCTGTTGATCTCTGAAAAGGAACAAATGAATGCTTATTTTTTAGTTTATAAAGGCTGTTTAACACAGCATCTAGGTAGAGTTGATTCAGACCTTGCATAGGGGTAAAATCTTTCAGATAGTCATCGTTTGGATGGCACAGGGGTAAACTTTCCGCCAGCTCCCGTCTCGGGTCGGCAATCATTGAACTGTACGGAGGTTTGCGCGATTTTTCACCCAGTTTATCCTTTCGGGGAATTTCCTGGAATGAATGATTCATGAGCACAAGTTTAAAATGTACATGGTACAAGCTTACCGGAACGACAGCGACCGTAACGGTATCGGAGAATTTTACTTTGTTCTTTTCTCCGGTTTCCTTTTTGGCAGAGGAAGAGGACGAAGAGCTGCCCGGTTGTGAAAATCCAGATGAGGACGGCCCGGGTATCGCTAGTAAGGAAGAGTTTGTACTATTGGACAGAATGGAAGCTGCAGGTTCTTTCCGACGAGGAAATCGTAACCGGTCGATCACTTCTGGGGGTTGTTGGTGAAATTTCGACTGGAACTTGGATGGAATGTTGCCGGATATGAGCGGATACTGATGGATCACAGTTCGTGGAGCGTTATTGGCATTGGAAGGATTTGGAATGCTTCTAAACTGGGGCTGTGATGCCTGCGAGGTGAACCAGGGTTTTCTAGGACGCCGGGCGAAGTCCGGTTCGTCTTGTACTATTGGAATGCCGATCGTCTGATCGAGAATGTTGGTTGGAGGGTACTTCAGTGCGTTCGGCGAGCTAATTGGTTTAGGAACCACATCAATGACAACGTGTTGACCGTTAGGAGGAGGTCGGGACGCGGCTGGGTTATCCACAAAATCCACGTAGAAAGGTTGTCGAGAACTGCGGTTGGTTATGTCGAGTTGCTCCATCGATAGACTGCTGGCGGGTGAGGAGTACAGTTTGGCTACCTTTTCCCGAGGATTTAAGCGAGCTCGCACATTGCCCCGTTGGATCGACGATCCAAAGTAAGGCGAGGTGTTATCAGAGATGGAGAGCAGATTACTCGAGCTCAGTGACTTTCCTTTCAGTTTAGTTTGTGCTATTCTTGACTGCTGCTGTTTGCTAAGTTTTAAAGCCATTGCTGTTTGGCTGCGTTGCATTGTCGTGGTAGGTGTTTTCTTCGCTACGTACGGCAACGGAGGTCGATCGCTGTTGAACTCTGATTTTTTACGCACATTCGCTGTGGACATCCGAGTAGCTACACTGCTGGCACTGCTGCTTTCGATTGTCTTGGGTAGAGGAGGATGCTTCAGGGCTCCGTTCCGTATTTGGGACGACTTTGATGAACTGGACGACGTCGAATAAGATTTGAAGCTAACAGCATCGGTGCTGGTTATTTTGGCTGCCCGTGGTAGCTGAAGTTGAGAACCTTCACGTTCCGATTCTTCGTCTTCTTCTTCTTCCTCGTCAAAACTTTCCGCACAGAGTGAGCATGAGGAATTCGAGCACAATGAGTCTGAAATGTTTATAATTATGTGCATAACATCTTTTATCAAATCTATTTGTTTTTATACTTACGTTCGCTATCGCTCCGGTCCGTGCATATCCGGTTGATGACAGCCACCTTCTTCAGTGCCTCTTTAGCCAGTTCTACATCGCCATCAGTTTTAGCCTTATCGTGCAACTTGAGAAACAAATCAGCATCGTTGATATCGATCGCCAAACTGAACGCTTTGTTGTAGGATTTATTTCGCAGCAGATAGTGAAAAAATCGTAACGTTATATCGTTGACCTGATCGCCAAATTCTACTTCAGTCTCATAACACAACGGTTTTACAGGTACCAAAAAGCTCCCCAGAGCTTTCTGCAGTTGCAATTCCCTCTCCGTTCCCAAGGGTTGCCTAAAGATGTAGTTTGCTATTCGATGCAGCGACAGCAGGCACATGGCGCCATATGTGTCCCAGTTTAGGCTAAGCAGTATATTGATAGCCTTTTCCACCTGGTTCAAGGAGATGTATTTGTGAATCAGCACGTCTGCCGTTAAACCGGAAGTGTGGACGTCCCCTTTCAAGCCAGTGCCACCAACGAACCGAACACATCCAAGAGGACCGTTCTCAAAGGCTAGCAGCAGGAAGCAGTCCGTGATGGCATTTTTCTCGAAGTGTTCCGTCATTTCCGGCTTTTTACTCCAGCATAGTTTGGCAAGATTGGACGGATGGGAGAAGTAGTTGGAAAGGTCCAGAATGCTAGACGGAACGACATCTTCACTCATCAACTGCGTGCGCACGCAGGATAGGGCAATGTCGAAACACTGCAGCTGACACTTTTCGTTTGCGATTATCACGACCGACGAGTCACTGTGCCACGAGACGAAGGTTGGTATCTAGAAAAAGCATGATGGCGGTCAATGTTTCGAACAGTTGGGTGCTGGGTATAATTGTAAGAAAGTGTTTTTAGGCTGTGTTGGCTCAATTGGCGAGTTAAATTTAACTCGTGGTTAAAAGTGACAGATGGAAAATTATTGAATAACCCTGCTATTCGAGCGTGATTATTTCTGACAGACTAGAAGTTAAATTTTGGCAACCGTGGCTGAGTTCTGTTTGAAAACCGATCTATCCATAGCATCGGAATTTTCGAAAATTGAAAATAACTTTCCAAATGTCACTTTTAACCCTGAGTTAAATTTAACTCGGCAATTGGGACACAGCTTAAAAATTGACGAAAATTGGTGTTACTAGCATACCTAATACCTAAGCGTTAGCGTTGTTATGATACTAACATACCTAATACCTAAGGTTCAGAAATAGGCATCATTCTGATGTACCTAGTTTTTTTTCCCTTGATTTGTTTTCCGTGCAGAGCACCAATGCTACCGACGCCAGGGAGACAACTCCCACACCTGGACCATACCTATCGACCCATCAACTCATGAACCGGGGACTAACGGCTTTACTTCTCTTCCGAAGGAAGGCGTGATCAGAGATGTTATGGGATTAAACCCAGGCCTGCTGGGGTGATAGGCAATCACGCTTACCACTACACCACCGGTGCCACTATACCTATATGTATGATATTGAGCGTTTTACCAATACTTGTATATTATTACTACAGGTACTTCTAGAGCACATCTCACAATAACGGTAAATTTCTGCAGTAACGTTCCCTGTTCCCAATTAGGGTGACAATATGGTCCATAAATGATCTTCCGGCACGAAATTCTGCTGAACATCGCTTTCAACCAATGATCCGCATACGGGAATGCCATCCTTTTAGTAAAAGATCTCGGCTCATCATTCTGAATTCGGAGCGGCAGCTACCCACTGAAACCAGACTCGAACAGTACAGAAAGCATCAGCAATGTCGACAAACTTGTTTCGCCTTCGGCACATCGTACCCCTGTACCAATGAAGTACAGGAAGCAGATCGTGAAATATGGTTGTATTAGTAATCAAAAAATCAACGTAAACGCAAGTAGTGACGTCACTAATTGCTTGTATCGTACAGGGGTTTTACTCACACAACTAACCGATTGCTTCACCTCGGTAATCCAGCTCATTGCCCCTGTACTACGTATGTATTCCTCTTCGGTTTGTCACTGGCATTGCTAATTTCGATATTTTCCATTTTCCATTCCGACTTCCATCCCTAATCAGTTTGGATATTACTGACTAGCTAGGTTTTCGTTCGCCCGCCTTATTGCGGCTTTTGCTTTCCTACGCTCCTCAATCTTTCTCCAGATTTCATCTGTGATCCACTCTATTTCCTTCAGATAATTTTCACTCGTCAGTCGTCACGATAAAGACACTGTAGATGGCCGTCTCGGGCATCGAGGTCTTCAAAGAACGACATTTTCACTGCTGTATTTTTTAGGGTGGTGTGTCCGGGGATGTATTAAATCCAATTCCATGCAGCTGATAACATACCGAAATGTAATTCTTCATTGTTGTGCAGAATTCCGGAGTTATTCGACGAACGACCTTTTCGCTACTGGATCTTCTAGCCCGAGTCTCTTCTTTTGTCGTTAGAACCGTACAATACTTAGGAGGAACTCACCGCTTAGAAGGTGATGATCAGACGCGATTTGGATGCTGCAGCTATTTCTTTTTTGGTTTCACAAACATTTACTTGGTGCAAATTAACAATATCGGTACCAAATCAAGATCAAAACATATTAAATAAATTTAGCACACATATACTACTCTGTTCCTCACTCTTCCGAGACTGGATGGACGTTGTCATGATGACCTAGGAAGGTTCGGACATTGGCGCAGGTGCTGATTATTACCGAATTCGGGATAGTCGGTAACTCCTTCTCCATCCGCAGTACCTGTAGGGCTTTCATCAGCTTCTTTGGCACGATTCCGGTTGCCGAGAGTACTACGGGAACATTTTTCGAGACCTCCACCAATCCCCACAATACCTTCAACTGCACGGTCAATGGACGCGATTTTGTGGTTGAGTGGAACGGCGATGTCAATTATGACGACTTTCTTGGCACCTTTGTGGTAAACCATAACGTCTGGGCGGTTGTGGTGGATGATAAGATTCGTCAGTACGGTGCAGTCCCAGTACAGGTTGAAATAATCATTTGCCAGAACAGGATCGTGGTGCTATAGGTGTTTGGTACAAATTCATCAAAAAGACCACATTGCAACGCCAACTGTTGGTACACGATCTTGGCGACTCCATTGTGACGCTCGGTGTAGGCTGCATTGGCGAGTACTGGGCAGCCTGTCACAATATTGTCAATGGTTTGAGGTCCCCAACAACTGTGCATTTGGTTATTATCAGGATTTGCAGGAGAATTTTAATTTTTGTATGAGTAAATGTATGGAAAATGACACGAAACTATTCATTCCTGAAGGAACTACGTGGACATGACGAGGCAATAATGAACAGGCCGAGAATTAACGAACAAAAGAATGTTTTATTAAAGCAAACTTGAATTGCTCACATCGAGCTCTTGAATTGGAATCACAGCGAAAAATAACAGGAGTGACCAGGTCAGGTAATCCAACGACTACCTTGATTTCACCCCCTCTCGCTTAGATAGTCCCTTCATAGTCCGAAGTTCCTTAAATCGTCCGACGTCCAACTATTTAGTGAAGAAGTCAGCCAACTGGTTGTTGCTGGCAATCGGCTCCACCAATAGCTTACAAAACAAATCCGCTTACTGATTTCCGGTCGTCAGTATCGGTGGCCCAGTCTGAATCAGCAAACCCGATGAGTGCCGCCGCTTGATTGTCTCGAGTAAACGTAAAGCAACACTCCATCGATCCTTTTGAATATCGTACAACCCGTTTCAGAGCTGTCCAATGTTGTTGTCCAGTTTGAAGTTGGAATCTCCCCAGATATCCGATAGAAAAGCAAATGTCCGGCCTTGTGGACATCATCAAGTACATCAGGCTTCCCAATAATTCACGGTACAGTTCTTCAACACCTTCGGCCACTGACGATCCAATTTCAATCCTTTCTCCATTGGCGTCCTTGTTGCATTGCACTCCGCCATGCCGAACTTCTGCAAGATCTTTTCCAGGCTGGTTTCTTGAGACAGCATCATTCTACCATTTTGTTGATCGTACCGTATCTTCATCCCAAGAAAGTGACTCAACTCTCCACAATTGGTCATTTCAAACATCGCCGACAGTTCGCGTTTCAGCTTCATTATCGTGGTCAGCTGCAGACCTGCTATCAGGAGATCATGGACATACAGCACGATGAAAACAACGTCGTTACGTTGTATAGGCAATAGTCGTGCTTGGAACGTGTGAAACCTAGCTTCAGCAGCGCTTGATTGAATTTTTGATTCCAACAACGAGGAGAATGCTTCAGACCATACAACGATTTCTGTACCTGGCACACCAGCCCAGGGTCTGCCTTGACGCCATCCGGAACAGCCATGAAGATTCTCTCTTGTAGTTCACCATGAAGGAACGCCGTCTTGACGTCCATCTGATGGAAATGTAATCCCCTTTGTACGCCTACGACCAGCACATTTCGAATCGTCGTCAACTTCGCAATGGGCGCATATGTTTCATTGTAGTCCAGACCAGCCTTCTGCAAGAAACCTTTGACTACCAGTCTTGCCTTGCATCGCACATGGTTTCTTTCTTCATTCTCTTTCACGCGAAAGACCCACTTCGACTGCAAGGGCTTGACACCGGCAGGGCATTCCACCGTCGTTCACACCTTATTATCCTCAAGAGATTTTAACTCGTCTCTAACTGCGGTTATCCAGAGCTGTCGATCTTCTCGATCTATGATTTCGGCGTACGATTCCGGGGATCTGGGAGAGTTGAAATTTTACCAGCAGATGTTGCTCTAAACCCAGTAAAGAATCAAGTAACTTACCTGGGAGCCTGCGCTCCCGTTCACTGCACCTAGTGTCAGACCCTGAATAGTCATCACCTCTATGTTGTGAAGGAAGTGCCCCAGGGTTTTCGGATGGAGCTTCTTCGGTTGATTCTTCATCCAGATCAACGGTGCTTTGCGTATCCGGATCGACTTCATCTTCGGATTAGCTTTCGATAACAGCTACTGCTTCTTGTTCGGCCGACGAATTGTCCCCTTCTGGCGGATACAGCATGGGAATCACTAAGGGAACCTTCGAGCCTTCATCTTCTTCATTTGCGTATGGTAAAGAAGCTTCATCGAACTTGATGTCACGAGAGATGAATACTTTTCTTGCTTTTCTGTCCCATAAGCGGTAGCCATTTGGGGCATAGCCAATCATGACCGCCTCCCGACTCGTGTTGTCCAACTTCTTCCTCAGCTGGTTTGGAAACAACGAAAACGCTTTACATCCAAAGATACGCAGCTTGGAGAGATCAGGTTTCGCACCTGTCCAGTGTTCAACAAGTGTACGATTATCCGGCAGAGCAGCAATAGGACACCGGTTCAACAAGTACGTTCCAGTAAGTGCTGCCTCCGACCACATGAATTTTGGCACATTTGAGTCGATAAGCATGGTTCTCACCTTTTCTACTAGGGTTCGGTTGAACCGTTCAGCCACGCCGTTTTGTTGAGGCGAGTAGCTACGGTTGGCTGAATTTGAATTCCTTTTCGTTTGTAGTACGCTTTCTGTTCTCCGGAGCAATACTCACGTCCTTGGTCGACAGTTAGTGCAAATTCGTTTTTCAAACTGGGTGGTTACCATGGCTTCATACTCTTGAAAATGTACGAAGACTTCGGACATTTTCTTCATCATGTAGATGCACGTAAAATGGCTGTAAGACAAAATATCTCGATCCATCCCAAGCCGGCGGATCGATTGGCCCGCACACATCCGATTGTATCCGCTTTAGCAATCGACTGGCTCGCTCACGAGTTCCGTTGAAGGGTTCTCTGCACTGCTTTCCAAGCACACATGTGTCACAGAAACCAATTGAATCTACTTTTGAGCCAAGACCTTCCACCATATTGTGTCGAACTAACCTATTCATCGTGGTCTGACTGGCGTGACCCAAACGACGATGCCAGAGATTGCTGACTTCCGCTGCACAGAGATTTGCTGTAGGTCCTACCACGTCCAGATCTAACTCCAACTCGTAGAGATTTCGTCGCAACTGTGCCACACCGATCGCCGCATCACCTTGCTTATCAGCGCTTGATGTTTTCCGCAGCGGCTTGTGAACAACACGTCAATCCCGGCTTGGGACATCTTATTGACAGAAAGCAAATTGCCTCGCAGCTCTGGTACAAAAATTACATTTTTCATCTGGAACAGAATTCCTTCTTTGGAAATCCTCTTGACTTTGCCTTCATATTTCCCAACAATCGACACACCATCTTTGGTCACATCAATAACGAAAGGTTGTCTGAGCCTCCGGACCGACTGCATGCAATCTAAACTGTTAACCAGATGGTCGCTACATCCGGAGTCCACGTAGAAGATGGTTCGCTTGTTCTGCACCTTTGGTTGCTTCTGGTTCACTATGAACGAAACTTCTTTTCTTCCATCCGCTGCGTTGACGTTACCATCGGTCTTCTTGACACGACAATCTTTCATCATGTGGCCGTTTTGCCACATCGATGACACTTTCCGTTGAACTTTCGTTGCTTCTTATTTCTGCCTCCAACAAACGCTGCTGCCTTGTCTTCGCTCGAATCTTCCATCCTATCAGACCACTTGGATTCTTCAACCAGTAACCACTGTTTCACAGTCTCCAATGTGAGGTCGTTCTCGTTGATATTCTCTAGAGCCGTTACAAGGGAGTCGTAGCTATCGGGAAGGATGAGAAATAATTGCGATACCATGTCGTTCTCTTCGAGCTTCGCACCTGCCGATTTGAGTTGGCGTATGATATCGTCGAACTGTTGAAAATGATGCCATCGAAGTTCCTTCTTTCATACGGAGCCTGACCAACTGCTTCCGCAACAGGGTCTGACTTGCTACAGACTTCTTCGCATATGTATTTTCCAGTGCCTTCCACATTTCTCGAGCAGTCCCCTTGTACCGTACTATCCCTAGACATTCATCAGAAAGGAACCCAACTAGCAAGGACTTCGCTTTCCGATCTGTCTGCCAAAACTTCGCCCTTCCCTGGTCCGATTCACCGGGAACTGACTTGGTTAATACGTTCAAAACTTCTGCCGTATCCAGGTGCAGTTGAACTCGGAACCGCCAATTCTCGAAGTTCGTTCCATTCAACTGCGGAATTCCGGAGCCTTCCTTCGTAGATGAGCCCATAACCTGAAGGAACTACGTGGACAGGACGGGGCAATAATGAACAGGCCGAGAATTAACGAACAAAAGAATGTTTTATTAAAGCAAACTTGAATTGGAATGACAGCGAAAAATAACAGGAGTGGCCAGGTGAGGTAATCCAACGACTACTTTGATTTCAATTTCCACACTTCGAACTTAGATTGGGAATACAATGCAGAACAACTTTGTGGAAACTGCAAATTGATTCGACCTATTTTTAAAAAGTTATCAAACTTTTACTTTGACCAATTGCTTCACTCATAGCTACAAGCTCATACTACGCCTGTAGGTTGGTGCTGAGCAATAGGTCTAAAGTAAAGTAATAATTTTTTTTTTTCAGAAGTTATAACGATTTGCAGTCTTTGACAAAGTTGTTCGGCATAGTATTTCCAATCTAAATAGTTTGGTTAAAATTGAGCAATTTTTGAATTTTTGACAAGCAATTGAACAGTTTCGTGACGTTTTCCCATACAAAATTTACCATTTAACCGCAAATCCAGATCATAACTAAATTCGCTCAAATTTTGCACAGATGTTGGGGACCTCAATACGCATCGAAAGAGGAATGGGGAGCATAGGGTTGTGATCCACCATATAAACATAAGCCACCCTAATGACTATTATACCGGCTTCGCTCACTGGAGAGTGTTCACCTCGGATCAGCCCTAGGGCATAACTACTGTTGTTTTATGTCGTTATTGTTGTTGTCATTGATGTACAAAATTGAAGATATGTCAAATTTTGTACCATCATAGTAGTCGTATGTTTCAATTGAAAATTAAAAATCATAATGCCTAGTCACGAGGGAATCGTGGAAAAGTGCGCGTTCGCTTTAGAAAAGTAAAACAACCGAAGTCCATTAATCAAACCGTGTTGTTAGCAAAATTTTAAACAGATTAAAATAAAAGTAATCTGATTTATCCTAAAATACATCCGTGTACAAATGTTCAACGGGTATGATAAATGTCAGTTATTCATTTTAATCTAATATCTTTGTTTCGAAAGTGTGCTCTTCAAATAAAAATAGGCATAGATGGAGACCAAGGATCATTCAAAATACGTTTAAATATTGATGAAAGTTCTTATCAATTAACTGATTAACTGCTACTGATCATGTATGCCCATTGCTACCGAGTAGGACCAGTCGATGATGAAAAGCACAACGGTTTTTGGTACCGACAACCCGATTACCGGCGGGCATAAACTTTGTTCAACCCACCATCGGTACACCAATTTTCGACCAACCACTTTCAAGTGAACAACTTACGAATGCTGCCTTAACCAGGTGCGTAATTCCTCGACCTTCGTCGAACAGCACTACCGATCCATCGATGCATCCCAACATGAGCTTCTCGTGATCGGGACTGAATGCATTGCAGCAAACCTGTGTCTGCAAGGGGATCGACGTCACCGCTACCCGTCGCATCTTCGTTTTGTGAATCTGATAAATACAGCTGTCGATGGTCACATCGCCCTACAATTAAGTACAATAATGATTAACTAGCTGAAACTTTAAAATAAATTCCCAGCCAAACATAACGAACTGCAAAATTATGCTAATTGGACGCATCTAGTTTGCACCCACTCGAGGCGTCCTTGTCAAATAATTAATAAAAAAAAGTGCACTTCAGTTTGGCTATTGTGCTAACACCGTGGGAATCACTCATCTGCATCACTTACCTTTTTGGATATTTTTTGCTCCACCGAATGGACCTGAAAGCCATTCATGAGCGAAAAGTCTACCGAAATGGGATCATACTCGGTCCAGTAGTAGCACAGCAGCTCCATCTTGGCCCCGTTCAATTTGTACACATGCAGATTTGCCCGATCCTGGTCCTTAACCGTTGGTCTCCACGGGTAGACCTCATTTTGGGACGATTTGGTCCACACAATAACCAAATCATGCGAACTGCTACAGACTAAATGTTTGGGAATCTTCCTGGTCGTTGGTCCTCCTATTATTACATTATAGATCTTGGGGTCCATCAAACTGATCTTTTCGAGATTATTTTTCCTTGAGGTCGGTTTCTGCAGATGCACGAACGTAATCTGGTTTTCATTGTACGATATTAAAATGTGCGCTTGGGTAATTATCACGTCCGTAATCTGCTCGGAAATCAGCTTTCCAATAAAATACTTGTCAAAGTATATACGGTTAATGTCGCCATTAAATGGATTTATGAATATGTGAATCAATAGTCCGTTCGAGAGCATAATCTGCAGAATGATATTGTTTCTCCACTTGCAGAAGACAATGCGCCTCTGCTTAAGCTCTTCCTCCAGCAGCTTCAGCGCATTCCTCAGCCGGTTCGGCTTTTTATTATCCACGTTCCATTTGCACCCCCTCGACTCGAAGTAGTGTTTTTTGCCTTCCGAATATATTGATTTAGCATTTTCCGACTTCTTCTCAAAATACCTAAAACGAATGCAAAAGAAGATGAGTGACATAACATAATGAATATCTTTAATACGTGGTTTATCATTGTTGTTTGCTTTGAGGCCTGTGAAAAACGACGGGCATGCCAGCCTGCAAGAAGCATAGAGATGGCAAATGAAAGACAATAGCAAGACCTACAGCCGATGGGAAAGACCTCGCGTAATCGATTAAGAAATCTCAACCAGCCCAAGAGTATTCTTCATTCTCTGTAGATCCCAAGTACTCTGTAATCATCTTTATCATTTGCCCTTCTTGCCTGCCGCCTGCCTCTGGAATGGTACTCACTTGGCTGCTCCCAGATCGGTGTCCTTGGCGAGGATGTCCTCCTTGGTAGACCAGAAGCGCAGCTCGCTCAGCAATGTTAACATTTTCCGAAGCGTAAACAGAAAACACTTGTAGCAACATCGAAACAAAGATTCCCTAATTCCGACGCGAAACTCAAGATTATTGAATCACTTTTGCACTCAATACCGTAACACTGACTGCGAGAACATAAAATAAACTAAAATCGACTGTGAAGCTACATTTTTTCGAAGAAAAACAACGAAAAACAAAATACTGCGAAGTCAACTACCTGTTGAATCAAGGAGCCATCTTTAACTTTTCGTTTGCTGCGGCTGTGTCTGTCAAAACGCCTCGAGCGAGAGGGAGAGAGAGCAACAATGATCGAAGGTTTGAACGAGACAGGAATAATTGCATGCCCTGTGGAAACTTTTGTTGGAAACGTAAACATCTGGTTGTGCACGGAAACGGAAAAATAAAATTTATTGTGCAAATAAATATCTATAGAGCTGGAATTACCCTAATAAAAATTGTACACAGAAATTCAAAACAACCCAAAATTAAGTTCTTTTCACTCATCTCCCATGTTCCGTACGATAAGCCAAATTTGGGTAAACCGGCTCAAAGTAGTTTGCATTTAAGCACGGCAAAAAAAATTACCCATCGCTAAGTTATTTTCAATTTTTTCTACCCAAAATTAAGTTCAATTAACTCAAATTTGGGTATATCGCATATTACTCAATTTTGGCTTCTTGTACGGAACTAGACGGTTGAGTCGAATCTTTCGTTCTATTTTTGACAACAATAGCGAGAGGAAATGAAACGGACAGAGGTCAAATAACTCAAATTTGAGTTTAAAAAACCCAAGCGGTGGGTAGTTTTGTTTTTCTGTGTATGGTTAATTTGCTTAACGACGTGTTCTGGGTATCATCCAAACCATTTGTGGAATAGTTCAATGATTTGGGTTATCGTTAGTTTATGGTTATTTTTTATTAGGGTAGGGCGTAGCCACTTTTGTAAACAATGACTTCTCTAGATGATCTCTAGAAAGCCAAGGCTTGCTCACTTAAATCTACGTGACCATCTGGTAGGGGAAGACTTCCCTTTCCCGTTGGTTATGTTGGTTTGCGTGGGCGTTCTTTGAGTTTCGAGAAATTATCGAGAGAAGTCATTGTTTACAAAAGCTGTTACGCCATAATTCCAGCTCTGTCAAGAAATAACTATTGCATGCTATGGAAAGTGCGGAAATGTGTGCTTTTATTTTAAATAGTTTTTTTTTTGGCTTCGGTGCACTAATTCTTGGCTCATTACGAAAAAGTGCGCAGAAGACACTAAGACGATACAACGTAAAATCGCACTTTTGAGGAGTCCAGTTGGAAATATAAAAACTTTGTTCTTGATGTGATGTTGATTTCACGGAGAGGTATACGCGTGAAGTTTTAAAATGCTTTTATTTTGCGAACAAATAATTTTATTGTCGCGCTTATGTTAAATTCTCATTTCATGACGGTCGAAGCTGCGCTTATAAGCGCGCTGCAACCCCGCTCATAAGGATTCTACACAGGTGTGTAATACCCCGTACAGACTATGGCTTATATCATGTAATATAGGCTGTCTTGCAATGAACACTCATACCACAAACGAAGTGACAGACGACTAACTGGCGAAGAAATCAATTAAAATAATGTGGTTCGCTGTAATAGAAATTTCTTAGAAGCTTGTGCCATCAGCCACCAGATGGGCTAGTTTTGACGTAGAACTACGTCTTTGTCGACTATACTGGGGTGCAAATCAAAAAAAATGTGTGGTGAAGGAGTGTTAGGTTTTGAACGCTTGTAACTTTGTCATTTATAGATGAAATTAAAATTCAAATACGCCAATCGATAGGATATTACATTACAAACCTGTTGAAATAAATATTTTTCCAATTTTTCTGCAATTAAAGTTTTGACAATGTACAAATGATAATTTTATCACTGATTTCATGAAATAAGCCTTTTTCCCAAACCCAGTCATCATAAACGAATGCCACTTCGTTGCACATCATTATGCTTGAATTGAAAAGATATAAATCAGCGCTCAGGACTAGGTCAGCGGCTAAAGGTGGATCACGGCATGTCCACCACAATGAGGAATGAGACTTGAAAAACGTGCATGTAAAGGAATGAGACTTGAAAAAACGTGCATGTAAAGCCCCCTCCCCCTCCCTCTTAACAATAACCCGAAAAAGACATGGACTTTGACGATCATTTTTTTTCGGGAAATAAATTTTAAGCAAACCTTAATAATGTATGAACAATTAATTTTTCACATGCAGAGCCAACATTTTCAAAAAAAATATTGCTTAATAGGAGACATACACTCGATGAATTACCAACAACTGACTGTAAAGCATATCTGGTACCTCTATATATTCAATTATATTAACATCCAAAGTCCATCCTGCTTTACATATTCTGAACAAAATAAACTTTTTGCTCCGCCCCATTCATAAAAAACGGCGGGAAATCCTATCAGGTTCTGAACCGGAAAAGATATAAAACAGCGCTGCGGTCATGCTTTTGCTCATTGTCGCTTCGGACGGCGTGGCACTTGGTCCTGCAGTAAGCAGGACCAAATCAGCGACTAAAGGTGGATCACGGCGTGACCACAATGAGGAAAAGTAATGGATGTATACCCCCTCCCCCTTTCACAACAACCTCTCCCCCTCCCCCCTTCACAACAATATCTCCCCCCCCCTCAACAACCTCTCCTAACCCCCCCCCCCCACTCATCAACAACCTTTCCTACCCACCCCCCCACTCATAAACAACCTTTCCTAACCCCTCCCCCCCACTCATCAACAACATCTCCTATCCCCCTCCCCCACCCCTCAAACCCACACATGAGTTGTTGCAATGTGATCAACAAATCAATATCTATGTGTCGGCCACATACTTAATATGTACGTATAAAAACCATGCGTGACCACACATAGGCCGCGGCCAGGGTAGACGCGACACGCGACGCGACGCGATGCGACTCACGCAAGGAATAATAATAAATAATAAGATTCTTTTGAATTGGTCGCGTCGCGTCGCGAATCGCGTCTACCCTGGCCGTACCCATACTATTCATTTGCGTGTAAATTTCATGTGTACTTCTGAGTGGATTCTGTTTATGTGTGGTCAAATGAAAATCATGTGGAATTTCACATGGATATTTGTCAAGCAAAATGTGTAAATTGTTTTGAGTCAACCATAACCGAAACATTGAAATACTTGAAAATTTTAAGATAAAGTATAATAGTCAAAAATGCATGAAAAACATCAATTTTGTGTGGTTCTACGTCATACTGCGGTCGTGTATAGGACACAACCCTTTAATTTTTTTGTTTTGATTTGAACATAGTTGATTTTGTGTGCAATATGATCTTTCACAGTGTGCAAAGAGTGTATCATTTTGTAATTTTTTTTATGCATTTCAGTTTAGAGTAGAGTGAAAGAGATAGCACCAAAACATTCTAGTTCAATTCAGTGTCAACATTTCAAAGGGGCGTAATTGCTTTTGTAAACAATGACTTTAGCCGTCAATTTCTCGCGAATGATATCTTACCTCTCCAAAATTACAATGCTAGCTGGTAGAGGAAACATTCCTCTACCTGGTGGTGTTATTATTTTTCATGAGTGAGCTTTTATTTGCGAGAAATCTATAGCTAAAGCCATTGTTTACAAATGCAATTACGCCCCTTTGAAATGTTGGCACTGAATTATTGGTGAAAATGCTAATTCAATCCAGTAGTAGTGTTGCCATGTGGTACAGTCCAGTAGTAGTGGTGTTGCCATGTGGTACACTGAAAAAATGCAATAACAGGTTAGTCACCAAAGTTTTCGAGCCGCTCCGTCTGTCACTTCGTTTGTGCTCATACATAGGATTTCCAGTGAAAACTAGATGTATGAGTGCCCGAAAAAAAAAAACTGTGAAATTTTCAGTGGAAACAATGCTCTAACCAAGGGGTAGGTCACTCCGCACACCAATCTTGGGTCATCTTTTTTGTCAGTGTGCCTCAAATGTTCCGCAGGTTTGCCGATTGTGCCGGTCATAGAGCAAGCTGCGATTGTTTGTAAAATATCCATCCCGGCAACCCGGTATTTCTGACACCTTGAATGTTTTGGTTTGAAATCGCAAGGATAAATCGGATTGAGGATGAAGCGGAAAGTGGCGGGTGTGCAAAATTTCGATGTTTTGTGTTCCATAGGGTAATAAAAGTTCTGTGTTTTAGTGCTTCATAATGCCCTCAAAGGCAGACGTGATGTGAAAAGCATCGGTCTATCAGCGGCCGGAAAGAGTTGGAACCGATGGGGAGCATTGTTAGAGACCGACTATAGAAGATGATAAATAGACTTATTTAGTTTGTTTTGAGTGAGTTGCAGCATTATTTGAATTACGAGTACTAATGGGGCCTACTCTAGAACCTACATTTCATATTTAGATCTGTAAGCAAACTGCTGGTCTGAGTTCCTCTGGTATACTCAATTAGAGGATGTTCCTGAAAATACAGTCAAACAACACGTAATGTTGTGAACAACTTCAATGGCAGTTGTCCAGCAGTGCTCCTATTTTATTCACAACAATCCAATGCCTACGAGATTGTGACGAAGGTGTGCCGAAGGTATGTCGAAGGTGTGCCGATGGATGTGCCCAAGCTGTGCCGAATCTAATTTCGGCACAATGTGCTGAGTGACTTACCCCTTGGCTCTAACATTAATATTTATTGTCGACAATAAAAATGATTGTTATAATGTTGTACCCTTCCGAAAACGGCAAAACTGCTACCTAGCTGTACAATGAATGTACATAATAAAATGTTGTTACAATGATTTTTATTGTATTTTTCATTTATTTTATTGTTAACATGATTCGATCACGAACAATAATGAACAACTCTATTACAATAAAAAATGTTGTTACATTAAATATTGGTGTGTTTTCATTGTGGGTTACTTCACGAACAATAAAAATAAATCTGATTGAAGCATGCAGACTATGAGAGGGTCAGCAACACTGCCAATGTAATCAATTTGCTTTGACAGTTCGTTTGGCTCTATTCGTTGCCAAGTCAATTGACAATGTAAATAAATGATGTACAGTAAATAAAAGGTTTAAAATTCATCTTATTGTCACGCCCCCCCAAATCGGAACGCGCGTGTGGTACACGTTAAAGGGCCACGCACATTAGATCCGTTTGCGTTGCGTTGACGTAAATTTGACAGTTAGACAAAAGATTTAGCTGTCACTTTGCCGCAACGGGTCCGATCAGGATCTAATGGGCGTGGGCCTTAAGTCCGACGTCAAAACTGACATTAGTGACATATGAAGTACAGTGATGCCAGTGAGAAATGTTATTTTGATTTTCACAATTCATAATCAGTTTATGAAACTTTTTTATGTAGTCTCGTACCGTGGGTGTACTTTGTGCGTCTGTCCAAGATATTAAATTAATTTAAGCTAAATATGTTGTATTTTATTCAATTAGACTAATTTTCAATTTCAGCCTCTCGAACTTTTTGCTTTATTTACCCCGTAAGAGAAACACAGGAAAGTAAACATTTTTTTTGAAAAACGTGACTAGTTATTGCGTCAGAAAAATCCCACCGACCTCGGCTGGGATTTAACCCAGACCCATTGGGATAAGAAAGCAGTCACGCTTACCACTAAACCACGGGTGCCGGTCCTATAAAACCTATCGACGTAATTTTACGTGATAATCCGGTGTCATTAAGACTTGACACTATGATTTCTTCTATCTGTGAATCACGTAAAGGTTAGTTGAAAAAAAAAAGCTTTTTGGCATTGACCTAAAGATTATTTTGAGTATAATTTATGAGTCCAGCAATAATCTTGGGGGTTTACATTTTTTAAGGACAAGAAATTTGTTCTTAAATTTTTAATTTTTGAAAAACATAAATATGATTAAAATGAACAAAAAAAAAATACCTAGTTGCTCTCAACAAATTAAGTAGCTAAGTTCTGTAAAATTTAAAAATAAGTATTATGTACTCACGTTCTTTAGATTTTGAATCGACCGAACCACGGCGGTTGGACAATGAATCGGTGATTCGGGCGAGTGCTGAATCGATTGAATCGTAAAACAAAAACGATTCCGAAGACATGGATCAAAATTGGTCACTTCACACTTTATAAAAACACACACAATGCACAGAAACAAAACAATATCTAGATCTAGAAAAAAATAGTATACCAAATTAGATTTTCCACTAATATATTTTTCGACTCCCGCCAACAAGGACTGCAGTTTATAGATACACATGTAATATAGATGTGCGGATATCAGTTGAACGGACTTTCAAATCGTATGGCAATGCTCGTTTGGATACAAACTTTGGTACATATCCACACATCTATTACATGAGTATCCATACTGCAGTTTTGTTCAAAAAAATGTAAATAAATACCCGTTAGTGAAATATAAGTGATATTAACTTTTTTTTTTCGTTGAGCTATGCCCGTTCTTGAAAACATAATATTTATGCGGTCCTTCGCGCTACAAGAAAAAAGGGCCTATCTTTGATGATCGTCGGTCTTGATGGTGCTATCGTTCAGTAAAAATAATGAAAGTTGCATTAGAAACACTGGAAAAAGAGACCAGCGGAGAAAAAAAAATAAATTTGGCAACAAGATAAACATCAAAGCAATCCTGGCATCACTTGCATTTGTAACTGCTTGCGAGTGACTTCGCCAATGCGAAGCGAGTTCATGAGTGATTGATAAACGATTTTAATACTCCTCCCTAATTGAAGCAAACCATTTGTAAACATTGCAGATTGGAACCGCTTTTGACAGTTCGATTGGAATCATAATAGTGTCTTCGTTGGTCTCTTATTCCAGTGTTTCTAAGTTGCATTTATTAAAAGTGAATACTTTTTAAGCAAACTTTGGCAAACTTTTTGATACACCACTATGAATAAAAAATATACTTTATTTAAACACTTTTTATGATCAGCTTGTCGAAATTAACTTTAGTTTTTGAAATGTCTACTTTATCACTTCTATTGTCTGCTTTATTCACTTCTGCAGCGAAACTCTAACCCTGTCAACCGGAGATAGATGAACAATTAATTATTTTGTCAAGCGTCTGCATTCATGTTCCACAGATGTCACTGCTGTTATTTGCGGTGACATCTATCGGAAATTACACACAATCTGTTTTCCGTTAATTGTTCACAGAGGACACTGCAGTGCAAAACATGTCTGGTACTTCTATACATGCATTTAGATTATTATTCGAAGTCCCTCCTTTTTTACACATTCTGCACACTCACAGAATTTCCCGTCAATTTTTATGTATGGGGCGGGGCATAAATTATCTTTGGTGCAGAATATGTAAAAAAGGAGGGATTTCAAATGTTAAAGTAAATGCATATATAGAGGTACCAGACATGTTTTGTAGTGACAGATGCTCTATTTTATAATCTGTGAAAGGGAAATTACAAATCGAGTATCAACAAAATACATGGCATGTTGAGAGATCGAGGTCGTGAGAGCAAATTCTCTCTCTCAAATTTGAATTTTTTGGCTCTCTGAGAACTGGTAGTAAAGCAGGTAAAACTACAAAGCTTGTTTAACAATAATTTCCGGGAAAAAACTGAACGACAAAGTCCCTGATTAATTTCTTTAGGTTGTCGTTCACTTTTTTTCACCTGAATATGCACCGAAAGCGAATTATTCCCACTTCTCTCAATTTCTATATGGGGATTTTTATCACTTCCTACAGCGGAACAGCGTCATCTCTGTGGAAAATGGTCGAACAAAATGATTAATAGCTAACGTAGCTCACATGATTTGATAATTTTAGGTAAATATGACATATCTGTGCAAACTAACAGCGGTAAACTGACGGAGGCATGACAGAACAAAACAAGTTTTTCTTTTGTACCAGCCAGTGGCTGAAAGTCACTCTAATAAAGAAAAAAAAAAATTTATTCTTTCACACTTGCATCGCAGTGCTGAACGCTAGAAAGAGTAGTCTGTTACAGTCACCCTAACCCCTATATTCATCACATTGAAGGATGATACATCACCACATTAGACACCGACAAACAGACGTAACTCTTTCTCCTCAATCGTCGTACATGCATTTAAATATTATTAGTTGCGTGAATCCCTCACCACAGCGCTGGCATCGGATTATTTTTTTATATACATTCTATCGAACTTATATTCAATATTGTTTGATGCTTGGCAAGTAAGCGTTTTTCCTCGAATACGTGTACCGGGTATCATCCAAACAATTTGCGGAATAGTTCTATTATTTGGGTTATCGTTAGTTTATGGTTATTTTTTATTAGGGATGCCCATTTGTCATCACACATAAAATTCATTGAATGTCGATTGGAAGCAGCAAATTTCATTTGTGCAATCACATTGCAAAAATCTATGTGTGTGGCACATAAACGTTACACGGATAGAAATCTTCTTATACCTTTTGGCAAATTTCTATTGCTGATTATTCATAAAATGTATAAGTCAACTAATAAGCAGACACCTTGCAAAAAGTTTATGAAGATCATGTGTCAAATGAAATGTATAAGCGGTCTCACATACCTTTTATGCATTTTTATAGGACCTATATGGTTTGTCTTACGGAATGTATAAGGCTGATGTTTGGCAAAAATGTATACACGCTAAGGCCCGGTTACCCATTTATGGGTAGAAAGTTACCCAAAATCGAAGTTCGTTAGCGCTCCTCATTTTTGGGTAACTGGCCTCGAACTCAAAAAATGAGTTCGTAGAACCGAACTTTCAAAATGGGTAACTTTCTACCCAGCGGAAAAAAGAAAAAAAGCGAGAAAACCCTGGAGAAAACCCCGTTGAATTGTGTTGGAAAAATTTCTTTTTTTGAATGAACGTTTAAAATAAATTGGACAGTTTAGTGAGCGTCTAGGATAAAGAGGAGAGGAGAGGAGAATTGATTTTGAGCCAAACGAAGGCAATCGAGCAGTGCTCATCTTAATTTTGTTTTCATTTAAAGGGTTACTATGAACCACCTAGACGCAGCTTGCCGAGGCAGTTTGTTTCTAATTCGATCCTCTCTTATCCTAGACCCTCATTAAACAAGTTTACCGTAAGTTTACAATGCTATGTATTTTTTTATTCTCAAATGCATGTGCATAACAATAAAAACACCTATTATCGTTTTCAAACGATTCAAAACATAATTTTGTATGGCGGATTCGATTTGTTTGAAAACGGGAATAGGGACGAAAAGCTGGTTACTGTGCGAAAACACAAGAGCTACAAAAATAAGTGATTACTGAGCCTGCTCTACTTGCTTGAATGCCTGCACTAACAAGTTCACTTGAACACTTCTGCTCTGTGTGAGTGTCTTATAATGAATAATACTGAATGAGTCATGAAGTGATCTCAGCAGGGTCGGAACAGGTAAATTAAAGTCCTTAAAGGTTTAATAAAAAACATCAATGGCTTGCACCGAGTCATCCCCGCAGTCGACGTGCTCTGTTCCATGAACCACGTAGTAGGAACCCTTCTTGAAGACATCGGCGATACACGCCAGGTGCGCAGGGTATTGGCCACCATGCAAGTGACTGTATTGGTCCTCAATCTGAAAATATACAATAACATTTTAAGGATTAGAATCGTAGGTGATTCCTTGTAGATTCCTCAAGTGTCCAATACCCATGCGATACAAACTCGACCGTTGAAAAGATCCCTTAATAGACATAGCTGAATTTTAATAATTTTCGTAAAAAGTGCGGTTGATCATCGCCAAGCTTAAATTTTTGATCAGTTTTGTGACCTATTATACGCATAACTGTCCCATGTTCTATGTATTCCTTATGGACCATGGGACAATTATGCGTATGACGGCAGTTTATGGATATACTAAATCCTTGAGAGCTAATTTTTGGCGGTGAACTAATAATTGTCAGAGGGGTAGACCTCATATTTACCCTCCTGACAATAATAGATTAGGATACTCAACTCGGTTTTTAACCGAGGGATACGTGCCACGTAAAAAAAACCGCGTAAATGTGGAAAAAAAAAGTGTAAATTTCAAAACCACGAAAATCCCGGAAAAAAAACAGGAAGAACCAAACGAAGTTACGTTTAAAACGCATTTCTGATGAAATCTAAGCAAATAATGACTACCGCGGAGAAAAAAAGGGTAAATACCAGATTTAGTGTATTGCTAAACTCGACATCAAACGAAATTTTTATCTAGTGCATTCGGGGAAGAGAAAATTGTTGAAAACACGGTGAAATACCATACCTTAACCCATCGTATAAATGGAGCTGCTGATACTTCATCGACTGACATACATTCTTTTTGTCTACCACGTTTACAGCCACGAACGGGCAACTGCCACGTGATTATCAAACACGCCCGAATGTACTCTAGAGCAAAGAAAAAAAAAATTTTGTTAATGCATATTCTTAGGAATTAAAAAATACATTTAAACATTCCATCCATCGATGAAATTGAAAATGTCACGTCGCAACAACAACGATTTTGATAAAAATCCCTTTAGATCTGGTGCTGATGTACGGTTTCCTGTGAGCCTAATGTACGCTTGTTGTATCTAAAAAATAGAATATGTATGCTACAGTTTACTTTTTCAATTCAAAGTTTGTAGTAAATACCAACAAGCCATGGTAAGATCGAAGAAACGGAGGTAAACTAGTAATTTGCATATCAAAATCGTAATTTGCATGTCGCAAATCGTTCCGCCGTGTGTGCAAAAATATATTAACCCTCTCCTTCCCATTGTAGCACAGGTGATCCACAACTTTTCGGTCCGTCTCATGTTTGTTAATTTACTATTAAATAGTCGGTACATACTAAAACTTCTTCGTGTGCTCATTATACTCGTCCATATGTCTTGTTGACAACTCAACTAAGCAACTAAGCAACTGTTGCACACAGCCTAAAATTATGGAATCCGTTAAAATAAGTTTTTGCTTAAAATCAATAGTATTTTAATTGTTTTTTTCAAAAGCTGCTCAGTTGCATTCTCAAGAACACATATGATTGATTAGAATGAAAATTTGTGGATCATCTGTGCTACCAAGGGAGGTTAAACAAACGGGGTAACCAACTTGATTTGAACCACTATTAGGCTGACCAGGATTTTGGCATTTTTTAGACAACCATCTGCGTCACGGAGCCATTTATTTCCCATGTCACGCTTAGGCTCTAATCCGAATTTTAACCAAATTGGTCAATC